AACTGTCAAATATTACTAGTTAAAATGACTTCTCTGATGCAGTAATGTTTTTCATGTGTACTTTATTATTTATCAAGCTTTTCCTGTGTGCCCTACATGCAGTTTTAGCTATTGAGGTACGAGTGTATGCCTCCCCCATACTCTCCCACTCAAAACCTGCATGAAACTGTCTCTCCTTTTTCTGTCATTAAATGAGCATGACTTTGTAAGGAAGACCAAAGGAAAGACCATGCAATTGCTTATTCTAGATTTCACTTCTGAATTCTAGATTTGGCTATATTTAGCAAAGCTATTACTGTCCTCATGCCCAAAGCCAGGAAGAAGACACCATTCACAAACCACCCCCTGAAAATCTGCAGTTGCCACTGAAAAACCAGAATTTCCAGCAGGCAGACATCTGAAGTGGGAGGCATCAAATTGGTTTTGCATCAGGAAAGACCTCAGGCGCTTTTAACTTACCTCTCTGCCTGACACTAAAGCTCTCCATAACCTCATTTCCTTTTCTTTTCTCTCCAACACACCTTCTGCTCTGGTCAAACATGTTCATTATCTCCCCTGGCAACTCCTTTCTGAAATAGTGGTCTTACTCCCCACCTATTTCTGCTTCAAGTTTTCCGCTTTTCTTTGAACCTTCAGGACCACTCCTTCCCCAGACACTAGCCACTCCCTTGCCCCACAGTGCTTACTGGATACCTATTCGATAGTTACTCAAAAGGCCCAGGGCCACTGAAGAAAGTGAGCAGCAAGCACATCCAGGGAACAAACTGTAAAAATATTTCCTTGTACCATTCCATATTTTTCTTTCCTTGATTCTGGAAGGGAAACTTGTACTAACCAAAATGATAACACTAGATTAGTCAGTATTCCCAGAACTCATGAGTACAGCCTCACCACTCTACACTTTCACATAAGCTGTTCTCTCTGCTTACAAGACCTCAGGTAACCCTCATCTGGAACATCTGCTGGGCAATTTCCATTCCTGTTCAAGGAGCACTTCATCTATAAATCCTCACCCCCAGGCCCATTCTCTTTATTATCTCTTATGGTCTCTTTAACACCTAATATTCACCAAGAGCCATACTAAGTGCTAAACACTCATCTCAGGGTTATTCGTTGGTCTGTGAGCTCCGTAAGAACTGAGCCCAAATCCCATTCATCTTACAGCTCTGACCTAATACAGTGCCTGCCATAAAGAAAGCACTGACAAACACACACTAAATGAATACATGCATGCAGTATATTGATACCACCACCACATTATAATTATACATATGTCATTTATAAACATTTGACTTTTTAGGCAATTTCACAAACATTTTTAAACTTTGCTATCTTGTGCTGTAGGTAGAAGAAACTGTCAAAGTTTACTGATTTGAAGACTTAACTCAGTAGTTCTCATTAGCCCTAGACCTCAATTCCTTTGGTGCCGGTGAGAAACTGTTCTGAAGGGCCACCTTGTCCACCTTATATAGAACTGAAGCAGTCCGGAATGTTGTCTGGAACACAGTAGGTATTCAACAAACATTTACTTTTGGTTTAGTACAGCTTAGACATAAGGCCTCGTATAGCTAAGGTGGTATGATAAAAGCAGAATTTCTTAGTCCTCTTTAAGCACTGCTCCAATTTCCCCACTGAGCTCATTTTGGAAGCTTACACCAAATCTTCCCTTGACTTCACACGCCTATTACATCAGACATGACTTAGCCTCTTGTTCTGCCATCTTTGCTGAGGAAGCTAAAGAGAAAATATCCTCCCTTGCACCCAGCCTAGAGATGGCCATATCCCTCTGGACTCACGACTCAGAGCCTTCATTTCCCCAAGACACACAAGCCCCCTCTAGACTAGTCAGTGCAACTAGGCAAGCAGAGCTGATGTTGCTGATGGCAGCCCAGACACTCTCCAGTCTTACTTCAATACCTCCTCCTCAGGTGCTTGCAATTCCTCACTGTACTGCATAGACCAACACCCGCATTAGGGAAAAAGGGATGATCGGTGGGATATGGAGGTAATAAAGTCTGTGTTTGAAGCCTACCACACCATCACTCCCTGAACTGCCTAGTCACTGCCCTGGGCACCTGCTGCATAACTCTCATCAACCCTAGGCAATTCTGGCTGGGACTGGTGGCCAGGTCAGCACCTGACACTTCAAACAAAAGAGGGTCCAGGAAGGAACATGACTACCCAAAACTTCTGTTGACCCTTCAAGGAGCTGATAAGACCTCTGCAAAGAACACCTGGCTCTGTCTGCCCACAATGCAGGGGAAAAAACTCCTGAAGATTCCTTCCTGTAGCCACACTAGCTTTCGCATTGCCACTCTCATTCCCACTTAACTATGTGTGTGATGTCATGTTGCTGATAAATAAGGGCTACCATTTATTGAACACCTGAAACAAATGTTAAATAATTTATATACATTGCCTCATATCATCTTCAAGACCACTCCATAGGGCAGTGGTTCTCCAACTTTAGCTTGCATCGGAATCACTCCAGGAACTTGTTAAAGCCCTACACCCGTGGTTTATGGAGTGGGCCTGAGCATTTTCATTTTTAACAAGTTCCCAGATATTGCTCCTGATCTAGGCTCCACAGTTTAAGATCTGCCCACAGAAAAACAGAGATTCAAGAAAGGTTTAAAATGTCTTATCTAAGGTTTCACAGTGAGTAAAGAACAGGTCCAGAATTTGAACCTAGTTATGCCTGACTCCACAGGGCTGGTAACCATGCTATTGTATGTATGAATGTTTGCCTTGTGTTCCCAAATTCACTGACAGCTCCTTAAAGGCAGACATTACACTTTAGAGCTCCCCATGTCCCTCTTGTGAACCTAGTGGTGCCTTTGTATTTGGTAAGTGCTACAAATACTTTGTATACTGGCTTCTCCACAGCCACATGTCTAAGGGTCACATTTTCAAACTCAATGCTACTCAAAAAACATAAAGAGGGCAATATTGACATGAGACTGGTTTTACGTGAGACTCTCTCTTGTTACTCTGCGTCTTTGTCTGTGATTCACAATATACAGGTAATTCCTACTCATTCTTCAGCCAGTCACCTCCTATAGAAAGCAATTCTCAGCTCCCTAAAATTGGGGGCCACCCTAAGTTTATCTCCATGATAGCACATGTCAATCATTCTAACTAGCTATTTCCTATCCAAGTAGTTTGTAAACTCCAGCATCTAGTCCTATATCATATCCCCAGAGCCTAGCACAGTGCCTGGCACATCAAAGACATTCCATAACTGTTTGCTGAATGAATGAATAGCTACAAGCCCTAAGTTTCACTTAAAAATAGAATGCATGATGTGCAGTTTTCAGGGATGAATTCTGGGGAAGAAAAGAGCAGCTTAGATAACAAAGACCAATTTTGCCTTTTCTCTTTCCCATCACTCAGATTCTGAGAACTGGCACCACTTAGGGTAACACTGTCTATAGTGAGACAATATCCAAGCTGAACAAAATGCTCCTGGGTCAGCAGAGGCCATTCAGAGGAATGGAAAGAGCTATGCATCCCATCATTCCTCCTAATTTCTCTATCACACTCTCCTCCATTTCTCCATCCCACTGCAGTCCAGGGCTTTGGCACAGGGATGAAAGAGACAGATCAGACTCAAGGGTGCGGATCTGGCAGCCAACACAGAAGCATCTCCCATCCTGCACCAAAGCCCACGACTGTGGAAAGATCCAGAGGGACAGTGACTCAGGCCCCAGATTAAGTCCAGTTAGAGCTGCACTGAAAATGGAAGAACAATAATTTCACAAGGACATGTTCAGACCTTTTTAAAAACAGTGTTTTTGAAGTAAAGGCTTCAACCCTAACCCCAGAACACTGGGCCCAACTGAATCCACTGCTTAGACAAGCTGAGAACCAAACACAGCTTCTTCTTCCTCCCAACCCACCCGCAGGCATTTCCCAGGCTCAGGTTGGAACTCTTGCTTCAACCTTAGCTTACTAAAAATCTCCTTCCCCAGTTAATAAACAGGTCCACCAACATTTGCAGCAATAGAGGTCTTCCCTTCCCCCAGTCCCTTGCAGCAGATAACACAACCTACAGCAGGTTGGCCCCATCCAATTAGTTTGAATAGCTTCATGCCAAGGAAATTGCTGCTTAAAAAATAAAATAAAATAAAATAAAATAAAAGCACACTACATAGGCAATGGGCTGTAAAAAGTATGAGTCTGGTATAATCATGAAGGTCGAGGTTAAGGTTACCAAAAGAGGCATGCAAAGATTTCCAGGAGGTCTGGAGAATAAAAATATAGATTTAGATATGGAATTTACACAGCAAATACAGCAGATCTAAATAACATATCCAATACAGAAAAAGAAAACATCAGATGCCACTCTCAAGTAATTCTTTCAGCATTTAAAAAAAAAGAAACAAAAAACTAAAACAGAAGGAAGAGGGGCCTACTGACTGATTTCAAAACAACCACATTCATTTCATGCAATATCTGTTATCTTAGCTACATCCTGGGGACCTGATTACAGTTGGGTCAGGAAACCTCCTCAAACTCACCAAGAGACTTAGCTCTCGGAAAAACATTTCCATTCTCTGAAAATCCTCTCTTCCTTCTACTGCCTGCTCATGGCAATGGGAAAGTTGGGTAGAAGAAAGAGAAGGAGAAACCCCTCTCTTCGACCCTCACATCAATTATTTCAAGTTTTAGGAGAATGACAAGCCCACGACCCTACATGTGATGTAAAGCTTCATACTTTCACACAGGCTTTTCTCACCTGATCTTCAATGTTTTTTTAAAAATGAAATAAAAGACCACTGAGGTAAACAATGTCCAGCAACCTCCCCCTGCCTCATGAACCCTGTCACTTTCAAATCTCAGTTTTAAATTTCTCAAGGACATTGATTCACAGGGCACGGGAAGGGGAAGGGAGTGTCAACTGGTCAAAATCCATTCATACATTCAACAACTAGAAACCAGAATCGTGCTGCATCAACCCAAGATTTTCATTTACGGCGCACTTAAGAGTCCCACTGTACCTTCTGCCAACACTTCGTCCACAGTGACCTGCTGTCGCCCAATGCCAAAGACCCTTCCGATGTAACCACTGCCCAGGCCCGAGGTGCTGCCCCCTCCTCCGCTGGAGCCGGAGCCCAGGCCAGAGCTGCCTTGCTCTCGCCGGGAGTCGAAAAACTTCTTCATCTTGCGAATAGGAAGCAGTAAAACGAAATACCGACAGCTTCTAGATTTTGTGGTTTTTTTTTTTTAAGAAAACAAGAGATCCAAGGATTTCTTCTCAGATTTCAGTTCCGAGAGGAGCCACCCGAATCCGGCCGTGGGGGTGGGGGCTGAGGGAGGATGCCTATAGGACTATGCGCGTCAATCGCGCGGTGGTCCCCTCCTCCTCAAAAGAGCGATTCGTATAAGTTTAAACCTGTGATGACAGAGGAAGAGAGACAAGATGAATCAGTAACATACTTAAAAATACAACTGCTGAGTCTTAGAGGGAGCAAAAGCGATCGACCTGGGGAAATGCTTGCTGCATTTTCTTAACGAGAAAAACCCCTAGGGTTGAAAACGCATCCTCGGCCCCCAAACCTGGGACCCTGTATGTGCCCGGGGCTAGGAAAAAAGGAGGAATTCGGGCCGCCTGGATTAGCGCCGACTCAGCCGGCCACTGCTGCCCCCCATTCCGTCCCGCTCCTCCCCGGTCTCCCCACCTCCCCTCGAGGCAGCATCCCGGCAGCACCCACTTGAGAAGGCTCGACGGCCGGCGCCCAGCTACCAGCCCCGCGACATTGTCACGGCCACCAGGCCTGCCTGCGTGGGGGGAAGAAGGCAGCGCTGCAGCGAGAGCCGGGGCCACGTACGGCACCCGCCCGCCCGCCAGCTGATCCCCTAAGCGCCGGGCAGAGACTGACCCGCCGCCCCTCCCCCGCGCGCGCTCCCGCTCGGCTCCATCCACCCAACCAGGAAGTGAACCGCCGCCGGAAATGCCTCTCCGGGTGGCACGGCCGCGGCCCGGCCCTCCTACCGCCGCCTCTCAGTCACGGCAGACGGAAAGGGGGGTCGTCAGAAGGAAGGGTACCAGGGAAGGAGAGTCTCGGTGCAGAGAGGGTTTTGGAAAAGAACACCGATCTCGCCCAATCTGCAGGGCACCTCGGGAAAGGTAGTTCGGCGCTGCCCAGCGGCTGGACTACAAGTCCCAGGATGTCCCTGGAGAAGCCTGCGAGGCGGTGTCGGTGGCCCCCTGTCCTCGAAGATGGTTAGTGGGGTGGTGCATTTCTGGAGATTCGGTTATTTAAACACATCCGGTAAAAAACAGCCAGGGACTCAGGTTTCCACCCTGCGGCAGGTTCCACCCTTCTGGAGCCATCTTTTTTGGGGTTTGAACTCCCGGCACAAGGGATTCTGGGGTTTGTGGTTTCCAAATGGATCGAGACTGACACTTGAAGGACGCAGCTTAACCACTTATCCCCTAGCCAGTCCTGTGGGGCTTCCCGACCTCACCTGGGCAGAAGGTGGAAGACCGATGGCGATTGGAAAAATTTTGCTGGAAGTTGACATAAGGACCACACCCTAACGTAAATAAAACCAGTGCCCTTCCGTCCCCAACCTCAAAAGCCTTCTTTGCTCCCAGATGTTATTGAGAACCGACTCCACGTTCAGTTCTTGCCCTGTGAGAACGCTTAATAACTCAGTGTCCGGTCTGAGAATCAATCTACAGGCAAGACTCAAACCGAGAAACTTACAAGGTGTGTGCAGGACAGATACTGGGGTACCAGGAGATATGACCCCTTAGCTCGGACCCCAAACTTTGGGGTTCGTCTGCTGACGGTGACCCTAAATTCTTCCACCTTGCTGATGTTAACCCCCTCCCACACAAGAACTGTAGGATAACCTGTTATTTATTTTACTCCCCCCTTGATGCTTATTTTACCCTGATATCGCCTGAGTGCCTAGGATGGGGGTGGCCAGTGTGATTTGCATCTGTCGAGTGCAGAAGATTTGCATCGCGGGTCGGTACTCTTCTCCATCCCTGGATTACCTGACAGAATGGCAAGTCTCAGCCCCCCCCCCAAAAAAAAACATGATTTTTCTAACCCCTGAATACACGTTATTTCTCACCTCCATCTGCTCTCCCCATCCCTAATTTTGCAACAGACCTATTAGCTTGTATTTTGTCCCAGATTTTTTTTTTTCAGCAGGCATTTGAGGAGCATAGAGAAGGGTGCTCCAGGAAAAAAAAAAAAATGGTGCTTGCTTTTTCTAATCTGAACATTGAACTGAGCTGTGACTGGGCTGACAGCCACGTTACTGCTTCTCCTCCTCCCTCTTTTCCTTCTCCCTCTTCTTTTCCTCCTCCTCCTTGTTTCAAGTAGTGCCATAATAGTTAAACTTCCTGTGTAGAGACAGCATCTTTTCTTCCAAAGGGAGTCAATATTGTCACCGCAATTCACAAATTCATGCAGCCACCTCCAGGGTAGAATGCATGCAGCACCTGCTAAAACAGTCCCTCAAAGCAAGCCCACGGAGGCATGTTCTCTACACTTTCCTTAAAAGGCTAGATTTTGTCTAAGGAAGTTTGGAATAGATCATAAAATATGTGGGAAAGCTCATTTAGAATTAGATTTCCTTGACCTCCATTTTTCTCTGCATCTAATGATCTTGACTGTCTTTTTTAAAGAAGCACTGTTGGGTTCTAGAACCTGTTGGTATCTCAGTTTTTACTTTTCTAAACTTTTCTGTTACCAGACTAGCCCAGCCTTGAAACAAATTCCAAATCTCACTTCTGAGACACAAAAACTTGTTTTTATCTAATAGGATTAAGTTAGATAACATATTTATGAACACCCCACCTGGATGCTTTGATCAGAATCTGAGGTGATAATAAAGAAGATAAAGAAAGGAAAAAAACATTAGAAGGCTAGACTTGTTGCCTTCCGTTCTCTCTCTCAGAGACTAATAGCAATTAAGATGACAAAACAGTTTTTAATGCTTTGCATATATTATTTAATTCTCACAATAACCCTATGAAAGAAGATACTATTATTATACTCATTTTATAGATTGGGCAAGTAAAGCATGGAGATAAGTCACCCACATAGTAACCGGCAAGGCCAGGACTCAAATCCAAACATTTTGGCTTTAGAACCCAGTGCTTAACTAGCTACATGAAACTGCCTGGTTAGAAAGAGCAAACAAACTGATTAATGTATTTGAAAATAGTTGGAAACATCTGCTAGCAGCATGGGACCAGGAGACAGGAAACTGCTGCCATTCCAGGGCTGTGTGCCTATACCACATAGATCTCTGGTCCTGTTTTCTCAGCCATAAAACAGAAACTCCCTTATAAACTCTTAGTAATTCTTTAGTTCCCAAGAACAAAGTAGTAACAGATTAGTCCTATAATCTCAAAACTCCTACCACATTTACATTCTGTATACTTTGTCCCACCCTGCCTTTCATTTCTATTTAACTTTTCATGTATATCATCACCTCAACCAAGTGTCTCAAGGTCAGAGAACAGTGGTCTACTTACCTCCTTAAACATTCAATACAGTAGTTTATATAGAGTATATTCTTACCAGTACTTAAATAAACCAAGTAATTAATTTCAAATTAAATGCAACACGGAAGACAGCAATCTGATTAAGATGGAAAGATTGATTTGAGGTATTCTCAGCAAAGTGAGATTTTTGAACTTGGTCTACAAGATACTGTGGATAAATACCAATTAAAGAAAGGGGAAAGGAAACTCATCTTTACTATTATCTCCCACATGCCAATTACCATATCAAGTGCTTAATATATAGTTTAGTCCTCATATATACATCTCTGTGACATTAGATATTAGTACATTATATCAAAGTAGATACTATTATACTATTATCCCCAATTGTATAGATTAACGGTAAAGATTTTATTTGTAGCAGAGGGATGTACATAGTTTGTTAGGTTCGGAGGAAATTATGGCTAAATCATGTCCCAGTAAACCATGTGGTGTGTCCTTAGAGGAATCAAAGGAAAGGGGACCAGCATTAATTAAAGGCCTTAACTAAGACCCACACTACGTTGAGTGTTTAATTGTACCATCCAGCCTGCACAATCTTTGAGAGCCAGGCTCCAGTTCTCAGCCACACATCAATGAGGAGTCTTCAAATATGATGCATGGGCATGACCATTGAATAAACTATCAAATGCAGTATTCACCCCAGAGATTAAGTGCTTCTCAGCAAATATTTTCCAAATAGTTCTTTTGCTGATGGACTTGGATAACAAGAGGGCAGAGAAATCACAGTAGAAATCTACAGTATTTCCGCTGGGCTTCTCCTAGGAGAATCTGTGAAATATCATAGTTTACTTGGGAATCATTACAGTGGTTGTCAAATGTTTTCACTAAGATAATCACTAAGTTCACTTTTTAAAACCTGTATTACCTCATATGTTTTAAAGTCGACACATAAAAATTTCATCATGAGTTTAAATAATTGCAAAGGATATGACTTATGGCATTTTATAAATATTGCCATTTAAAAATAAAACTGTCACTTTTTTCAGTGTATGGAGACAAAATACCACATATTTGATGGAATATAAATACAATCACCTATTTAAAAATAGTTAAATTTTTCTCTAACACCTGGGAACTCCCTTATCCTCTAGAACAAATATTTCTATATCCCCCACAGGATTTTATCCTAAAATAATATAATCATGTGCTTAAAATTTTTTATTGATTGTATTATATTTATCTATAAACTTGTTTTTAATTTCCTGTAAGTATAAATCTCTAAGTGTTAAATTTTGTTTGACTGACTCTTCTGGTTATCATGACAATGATTAGTTTTGCACGGTTGATTGAAATAATATAAATATAACGCAAAGTTTGATGAATTGACAAAAAGTAAGAATATTTTGGCCTGGCTAGTGAGACTCAGTGGAATGAATGCCTGCCTGAGAACTAAGGGATCACCAGCTCAATTCCCAGTCAGGGCACATGCCTAGGTTGCAGGCCAGGCCCCCAGTAGGGGGTGTGTGAGAGGAGGCAAACACAAGTTGATGTATTTTGGGGTTTTTTAAGTGTTTTTTATTGATTATGCTATTACAGTTTTCCCAATTTTCCCCCCTCTATCCTCCTGGCTCCTTTCCTCTGTCTTCTTTTAGGATTTCCTCTTTGTCTTTAATCTTGGGTAACTTAACAATGAAGTGCTTTGGTGTGTTCCTCTTTGGGTCCAACTTCTTTAAGAGTCTCTGGGCTTGCTGGACAAGTCTGTTTCCTTTGCCAGATTGGGGAAGTTCTCCTGCATTATTTGCTCAAATAAGTTTTCAATTTCTTGCTGTTGTTCTTCTCCTTCTGGCACCACTATAATTCAAATATTGGAATGTTTTAGATTGTTCCAGAGATTCTTTAGCCTGTCCTCTTTTTTTTTTGGTTTCTTGTTTCTTCATTCTGATCCGGTTGGATGTTTATTTCTTCCTTTTGCTCCAAATCATTGCGTTAAGTCCTGGTTTTTTTCCTGTCAGTGTTTGTCCCTTGAATATTTTGCTTTATTTCATTTTAGGTATCTTTCATTTGTTCTTTCATTTTTCAACCAAGCTCAATCAGATCTGTGAGTACTTTGATTACCAGGGCTTTAAAATCTCCATTAGATAGGTTGGCAATCTCCTCATCACTTAGTTCTGATGTTTTGCAGTGTTCTTTCATTTGGGCCATATTTCTTTGTCTTGGCACAGCTGCTAAGTTGTAAGGGGTGTGGCCTTAGGTATTCACCAGGGCAGGGCAACCCTCTTCGCTGCTGTGGCACTGCCTGTGAGGGAAGAGCCAGAGAGGGAACAGTGCGGCTCCCCAGCTCATCTCTAATGTACTTTTCAATGAATTCTAGTGTCAGACTGGGAGAAACTCCTACCATGGCAACCCCAAGCAGAT